TGTCTAATATCTCTCCAAGTGCCCACAGGTGTCACCAATACTGGGAAAAAAAATTATGGCTCCACATATAATATATATATTTTCAGTTTCTTTTTCATTTTTATTTGTTTGCATGCTTGTTCTGTTCCGAGCAAAACACAGCCTGCAGTTCAACCTAAAAGCCCCTGAATTTGAGTCGTCAGTGTCACGACCCACTAACGGCCTCTTAGTTGCACTGAGGATCCCAGAGTTTTACTAAACACTATGATTTTTCTACACACTATAAGTATTTCTACACTTGTCTCCAATCTCCTACGTGGAAACACAGCCTGCAGTCCAGCTAAAAAAAAAAAAAAATCCTTGATTATTTGTCGCATGATTGTTTTTTGCAGATGAGTCACGAATGGCCTCACTGTTGCACTGACGAATTTTCAGTTTTTTGGAGAATCTGGTGAAAGCAAACTGTATTTTGGTTCAATTTTTATGTGATAAATGATGAATAAAGTGATTTTGTTGAAATATGTTGATGCTAAGCTTAGATTTGATTGAGTTTTTCAATAAAGCGACGCATCACAGATGAGCAAGTTGATAATAAAGTTGAAAATATAACAGTTCTTTCTGTGATAAATGGTGTTTTTAGGTGTTTCTGTTAAAGATAATCCACCTTTCAAACCGTCTTGCCGGAGTTCAGAGGGTTCGAACTCTTTCTGTAGCAGTGAATCCTGTTAAACCTTTATGTGTCTGTACCTACATACATGTGTGTGTTGGAGGTGGCATCACTGCACACAGGGAATGTTTTTTCCATGGCGTCTCCCGGTGACACACCCTTTTCCACGGTCCAGCCCATCCTCTGCATGTATGTGTGATCCCATGCTAGCAGCTGGTGGGCTCTATAAATAGTGAGGGCTGGGATGTCACTGGAAAGAGAAAGGAAACAAACAGCTATCTTGTAAACGGGGTTTATGGACTAAAATATTATTTCTTTTAGCCCGGCATAAATCTAAGAGCCACTGCCTTCTTCTTTTACACGACACATTGATGATGTTGTTATTGGTGATTTAACAGCTAATGTGATTTCTGCCTCGTAAATTCTGCTTTATCGCTTTTTATTATCGTTTCTGTCATGTGTTGTCATCGTTGGATGTCATAGCAGCCTCCTAGAGCCTCCTAAGATCCATACCTCTCTGATAAATGCATGATTTGTATATTACTTCCTGTATTGGAATAATAACTTTAGAAGGCATGTTAAATAAAAAAATAAAAAATGTAGCTATCACACCATTAGATTCTCAACTTTTAACTTATTCTATCAGAAAACATCCAAATCTAAGCTGAAACTTGCAATTTCGTCTTTTTTTTTCTTTTTTTTTAAAATTTGACATGTCTCATTTTAAAAAAATTGACCAAAATAAACAATTGGTGCTTAACAAATTCTATCAAAAACAAAAAATTCTGCATTCTGTGCCGCAACCGTCAATCCTTACATGACTCATCTGCCACCAACAAGCACACGGCAAAAATTCAGAGACCTCTTGGCTGAAATCGCTTGAACTGCAGGCTGTGTTTACAAAGAGCCAAGAGAAGAAAAACGGGAAAATAAATTGCAATGTTAAATGCTTGTATATATTTTTTTCAGGTAGTTCTACCACATGTTGGCACTTGGAAAAATGTTAATGACAGTTTTTATTTATTCATTTGTTTATTTATTGATTTTTATAAAACTAAATAATCAACAAATTGCAGCTTCCGTTTTTCTTCTTTCCTCATTTATGCCATTTTAACTTTATCAGATGGCACAGAAGACATTCTTGAGTTCCCTCTACTTCTAGTCATGGTTGTGTTGTTTCCATAGAGGTGCAGGACTTTGTTTTGCAGTAAAAAATGAGCCCACAGTGAGTAAAAATGAGCAAAAAAAGACTGCTTAGCATATGAGCCGGAGTATATAAATGTAAATTAAAAGTTGTGTTTGTGCTGCACGGAGTTAAACTGTCGTGTTTGGTTTGGCGTCAGTGGTAACAGATTGTGTCAGGACCCACTCGGCTCGATGATGTGACCTGTGTAGTGTTTTGACTCGAGCGTATGTGTGTGTTCAGTCGACGGATTTAATTCCTAAATCACGAGTGCATACAGTATAGCTCCCCTGCTTCATTGTGTGGCCTTCGTGCAGGATGTGCGTATTCAAGTGTGCCAGGTGATGGATGTGTGACGGCAAGTGGGATAACATTGTATTCCCAGTCACACGGTGAGAGACAGGTGTTGAGCGCTGCGGAGAAATAAACACAGCGGCCAACACACACTCCGTCTGTTAGCGCCGCGTTGAATGAGCAGCACATTACAGCAGCCCAGTATACCACAGCTGCTGCTGAATGTCACCGTCCTGCAGAGTGACTTGGAAATCTGTGCCTGGGTTTCAGTGCGTGATTCCGTCTTGATTTTTTCCCCTCAGCACTGAGCCAGCAGATGTTCGGCTGCATGAAACTAACTGAGCTTCATGTTACTCCATATTGTGAGTTATTAATCTTGGCGTAGTCAGAGTTGTCTGTGTAGATTCTACAGTCATGCAGGTCGTTGCATTGCTCGGAGCTTCAGTAGAAAGCAACTGGATTTCCCCTTTTAGGTTCTTGGAGACGTTTCACCTTTCATCCAGTTCTTTAGAACTGAAGAACGTCTTCAAGAATATTAAAGGGAAGTCCAGTTGTGGAACTGGACTTCTGTTTTTTGGCTCTTGAAGACATTTCATTCCAGAGGCTTCTTCAGTTCTACAGAGCTGGATGAGAGGTGAAACATCTTCAAGAACCTGAAAGAGGAGTCCAGCTCAGCAACTAGACTTTTCTTTTAGGCTTTTGATGATGTTTCACCTCTTATCCGATTCTTTAGAACGGAAGAAGCCTCTTGGACAAAAGTGAAAAATCTTCAAGAAGCTGAAATAAACCTCCAGTTGCCCTTTAGGCTCTCGAAGATGTTTCACCTCTTATGTGGTTCTTTAAACCTGAAGAAGCCTCTTAAATAAATGTAAAACATCTTTAACAACCCACTAGAGAAGGAGTCCAGTTCAGCAATTGGACTTTTGTTTTAGGTTCATGAACAGAACTTCTCTTTTGGGTTCTTGAAGGCGTTTCACTCTTTCCACAGATCTTTAGAAGTGAAGGAACCTCTTGGATGAAAGGTGAAATGTCTGCAAGAACCTGAAAAAAAAAAAGAAGTCCAGTTCAGCAACTAGACTTTTCTTTTAGGCTTTTGACAGTGTTTCACCTCTCATCCGATTCTTTAGAACGGAGGAAAGCCTCTTGGACAAAGGTGAAATATCTCCAAGAAGCTGAAATAAACCTCCAGTTGCCCTTTAGGCTCTCGAAGACGTTTCACTCTTTCCCCAGATCTTTAGAAGTGAAGGAACCTCTTGGATGAAAGGTGAAATGTCTGCAAGAACCTAAAAAAAGAAAGAAGTCCAGTTCAGCAACTGAACTTTGTCTCTTTTAGGTTTAGCAACTGGACTTCTCCTTAAGGTTCTTGAAGACAGTTCACCTTTCATCCAGTTCTTTAGAACTGAAGAACGTCTTCAGGAATAGTAAAGTTGTGGAACTGGACTTCTGTTTCTAGGCTCTTGAAGACATTTCATTCCAGAGGCTTCTTCAGTTCTACAGAGCTGGAGAAAGGATGAGAAAACCCAACAGAGAAGTCCAGGTGCTGAGCTAAACTTCTCTTTTAGGTTCTTGAAGACGTTTCACCTCTAATCAGATTCTTTAGACCTATAGAAGCCTCTTGGATGAAGGTGAAACGTCTTCAAGAACCTAAAGGCGAGGTCTAGTTACTGTCTACTGAAGCTCCAAGGATGTAGTTGGAGTTGACCTCTAGTCTCGTTAGCGGTTAGCCGGTGGTTAGCCCAGTGAGCCGGCCTGTCCACACCCTTCTGACCGACTGTTTGAGTGACTGTGAGGAGGGTCCTGAGAAATGACCTCATCTACGTCTGAGAGTGACAGGACACCTGTGGCCCAACCTCGCCGCGACCCCTTCACCCCCAAACCCACCCACACATATATAAGCTGTGCAATCTGAACCGTCTCCCTGCGACGCTTCAACAGTATTATTCCCCCCCTGCAAATTTCATCTGGCCTCACCACCTGTCGCCCGCTGTATTTCACTCGGGCGGCGTCCTCTGCAGCCTGTAGCCGTCTGTTCGTCCCTCCATAGGGCACCGGAGCTTACAGTTGTGCCAGAAGTAGGTATGAGAGTGGACCCGGCACCCTTGGGGGCAGAAATCCTAGACTGATCTAATTACTCCCAGTCGAGCCTTGAATCAGATTGAATCTACACCGACTGGCAACGACTTAACTCAATCTAGCGGCAAAAGTGTTACACAGTAAACAAGTCAGGCTGTCGGGCAGCAGAAGAGACGGGACTGGGTCCAAGCAACGCTGCAGATGGTGAAATCCACAGCAGTCCAAAGCACTTCACGGCTGTGTTAGCACTAAGTTATGGTTAGTGGTCCCTTTTCTGCTATTTGGGTTAGGGTTAGAGTTTTAACAGAAACATAACGAAGCCAAACAACTGATGGTTAATTAGTCATGTAGCCCTGGCTAATACCTGCCTGTACTTTCAAAATTTACCACAAGATCTGAGTGCTATATCTGCTCTTGGGTTTTTTGATTATAAAAAGACCTTTTATTTCTTCTTTTATTTGAGATTTGTCTGTCTAAAATAGGGCTGCAAGTGTCATTACGGTGATGAATGAGTTGATTTTCTCGATTAATCGATTAATTGTTTGGTCTATAAGATGTCACAAAACGTTGATCAGTGTTTCTCAAGGCCAAAGATGACAAAAGATGACACAATATTGAGCTCAGGTCATACAGGAGATAGGAAACTCGAAAATATTCACATTTGAGAAGCTGGAATCTCGAAGTGTTGACTTAAGCAGCAATCGTTGGAGTTCTTTCGAACACTGCAAATTGTTGTCATGCTATAAAAAGCTACATGGAGGTTGCAGTTAATGAAAGTATTCCTTCTTCTTCTTCTTCTTCCAGACGGCCTCCATCGCGTCGTGGCCCTCTGCACGCTGCGCGTCACCATCATCACCGACGACATGCTGACCAACAGCATCACGGTTCGTCTGGAGAACATGTCCCAGGAGCGCTTCCTCTCTCCGCTGCTCAGCCTCTTCCTCGACGGCGTGGCGGCCGTGCTCTCCACCAAACGGGAAGCGGTGTTCGTGTTCAACATCCAGAACGACACCGACGTTCAAGGCTCCATCCTCAACGTCACCTTCTCGGCGCTGCAGCCTGGAGGCGGCAAAGGGATGTTCTTCCCTTCGGAGGAGCTGCAGGAGCAGATCTACCTCAACAGGACTCTGCTCAGGCTGATATCGTCTCAGGAGGTAACACACACATACATACGAACGGACACACATATTCTAAATACTATAGAAATGAAAAAATGTATGTTATCAATGCTGACTTCTTCTTCTCTCCAGGTGCTGCCGTTTGATGACAACATCTGCCTCCGGGAGCCCTGTGAGAACTACATGAAGTGTGTGTCGGTGCTGAAGTTTGACAGCTCCCCTCCCTTCATCGCCTCCGACACGGTTCTGTTTCGGCCCATCCACCCCATCAACGGGCTGCGCTGCCGCTGTCCGCTCGGGTTTACCGGGGACTACTGCGAGACCGAGATCGACCTCTGCTACTCGGGACCCTGCAAGAACAACGGGAGGTGTCGCAGCCGAGAGGGAGGATACACCTGCGAGTGTCTGGAAGACTTCACCGGTGAGTTTAAGGAGACGTCTGGGAAGACTTTCGAGACTTTCGAGGCAATCGAGCTGCCATTTTACCTAAACTATACTGCATGTAACCCAAACTACCTCATGAAAGCATACCACAGAGGATATTTTTACAGTGAGAACTAACAGTCTATTGTAAACATGGGCAAAGGCTCATATTCTTTGTGACGGTGGTTTAAATAACTTGAGCAAAACTGCCAAACCGCACTGACAGGTTGTAAAAGCTCTCACCACCTATTGTTGCAGCCTGAGGTCGACCCCGGTGCAGGGAAGGTAAAACGTGCTTTATAATGCTGCAGGTAAAGCCACCTGCGCACACATACAGTACAGTAGATTTATTGCTGTACAGAGGTGTGTGGAATGCAGGCTGCACTCGTCAAACCAGGTTTATCCCAAATAACATTTAACCCAGTTTGCCATTGTTGCTTCAATTTCACAATAATTGTAGTGAAATTGCTTCAAAATATTCTTCCTTTATCATTATCTACAGAGAAAAAGACGATGGGAAGCAGGTTTTTGGGATCGGTAAAGATCACGGGCATGCAAACAAGTTCTCTAGCAATAGTCATAAACCAGTGAGCCAAAGTGGTGACTCAACAGATCTGCTGTGATTTAAAGCTGCTCTGATCAATATTCTTCCGTTCCCAGTTAGAACACGACGGTGTGTAATGTGAAAGGAATCGCTTGTGATGACAAATCCAGACAATTCTCACCGATCTCGGCACTTCGGAGTGTGTTAACATGTTTCAGCTCATCTTTATTTTGGCTGTCTGGCTCGCCACAACCTCACAGTTTTTGTTTGGTCTCACTGCCAAAAGCAGTGTGGTTTCCAGATCCAGCAAGAAAGTGTTTCCAAAAGAACACCAAGAGCTGAACAATAGGCAGAGTTATTGATGGGCTAATATTCAAATCATATACTTCATCCCCCAAACTATTTTGTAAAGTAATAATAGTACAGTGTGTAACACAGTGTGGGTTCATAGGATTATGAGATTAGCTTTGGTTGCATCAGTGTGCGAGGAAGTTCGGCAATGCACCAGCAAAATGTAGAAATACACTAAAAAAAATGCAGAAACATATCAGGAAAGCAGAAATGCACTTATAAAATGTTGCACAAACAAACAAAACATCAAACTGTACTAACAGAAACCAAGGATGCACTAGCAAAAAGTAGAAATGCAGTACAAAGAAGCAGAAACCCACCAGAGAAATGCAAAACTGCGCTAGAAAAATGCAGAAATGTGCGAGAAAAAAACTTCAGTGCATTAGCAAAATGGAAACATGCAGCAGAAAAATGCAGGAAAATGCACCAAAAAGCCTGTCAGGTAGCAAACGTGGATCTGAAAAATGGAAATATTCCAAATATTTGCATCGCAAGGCTTTTTTTGAGGAACAAAATGCATTTAACACTTGGTTAGGATACACTATTAATGTAATCATAACTGTGTTTATTCGCATTAAATCTATACACAGGGTAACTTCAACTGAAAACTTTGATTTTTACAGCAGTTTTGCCTGGAAACTGTGAGTTCCTGTGGCTCCGCACAGCATTCATGTGATAAATGAGCTATGAGAATACTTGGAAGCTTTCATCGTTCCCATTGAAATCACTTTGCAAAAATATTTCCCGATGTCAGTGATCTTCCTCCCATACTTCCCCTTCGTACATCTGATACCTGACTGACTGTCTCCGCTCTTCTGTCTCTCCCTAATAGAGCCTGGACGGCCTCTGACAGCCCTCATCCTTCTTCTCCCTCTGTCCGTCCTCTGGTTCTCTTCCTCTATCTTATCTGATGCAATTACCTGATTATACCTGCCTTTGTCACTCACAGGGCTTCTCGCCTTTTCCTCCTGCTGACCATGTCCATCTCCTGCACTCACCCATCATATTTCCCTTACCTACATCCCGGTGTCCCTTCTTTGAAGGTCACAGTTCAACTCCAGATAGTCACGGCCCATCAGGGGCCATTATGGGCCTGATGACAGCAGGGGCCCGCTCTGTCCTCCTTAGGTTTCCTACATTACAGGGAAACAGATCCTTATAATTCCTGCGCCGAAAAAAAAGGATTATGCTGCAGAGAGAAGGGCCATTAGCTGGTTCCAAGCTGTGGTGTTGGGGAGTCTGTGTTCGAGAGATCTTGTCTGGACAGCAAGTTGACACACAACACTGCATGGGACACCGAGGCACCTATCTCAAATAATATTACAGACAGAAAAAGATGGTGTATTAGTGGAGGAATTTCAATGAGCAGAGCCAGGAAGCTTGGGCCCATCTAGCTTATTTTGGACAAAGCTAGATCCAGATGGTCATTTAGGAGGAATTTCCCATGAAGGAACCCACTACTGTAAGAACACAATTAGATAATGTATTATAAAAAATCTGATATCGGCATGCAGCCGCAGTTAGGTAGTTAGCAAGTGAAGGGCAAACTTATGGAGACCACTTTGAAAATAGCGAGGTACAACTAACTGATGGGCCAAAGTCTCCAGGTTTGTTACTGCTCTGGAAGGTCTGACGACGCCTGGACTAATTGTCATTTTTCTGTTTTTTGCCTGCTGTCCTGTTTTGTTTCCATTTTAACCTCACCCCAACCAGTCGGGGCAAATGGTCTGCCTTCCCTGAACCCGGTTCTGCCGGATGTTTCTTCCCAATAAAGGGAGTTATTCTTGCCAATATCACCAAAAAGCTCACTCAGAGGGTTGTGAATTGGTGCTGTATGTGTAAATATAATTAAGTTGAATCCAATGTAACCCAAGCAAAGCATCTCATAAATGGATTGACAGGTTTATGTTGTAACGAATGCTGCTGGTCAGTCTTCACACAATGGATGCAACGTCCTCTGAATGTCTTCTTTCCAACAACTGCTGCACATCCGCAAATAAAAACCAACATAAATCAAAGTTCCTCAGACTCAAGCATGCAGCGCAGCTACAGCGTCTGACCATAAATTCTGAGTTCATGTTATTCTCGGAGTTGTTGGACAGTTAAAGTGGGCACACGTGAAAGCAAAACAACGCAAAGGCTAAAATAACTCCTGGAATGCAGTGCATTTATTTAAAAGTGGATTTTTTCCTGTAACTACTTAAACCCCGAGCTTGAGTGATGCTAGGAAGGATTTAACAGATCAGCCGTTATCTGATCTTCGTACAGTTTAAAGGTATCAGCCTGAGTTCAGCCAGGGATCGGACTTAATGGAGGAATGTTTTCCATCCCTGACTTTTCTTTCATTCTTTCTTGGTTTCTGTCTCGCTTTCGTCCTCCTTTCCACTCTCCTTACTCTCCTCTTTATCGCCCATCTTCCTTGTTCTGTCCAAATATGGCTAAATCATCTCGTGGCTTCGACCTTTACTCCCCTGAAAAGGCCTATAAACAGTCAGTGTCGCAAATGTTTAGATGGGGATCAACCTTTCTTGTTTTAACGGTGTCTTTAAGAACAGAATTTAAAGCTGTGTTTAACCTGCAGGCTCAGGAGGAGAAAGCATGAATCAGATGTATAAATGTGCTTGATTGAGAACCGAAGGCGTCCTGTTAAAACAACCGAATTCCAACCAGCTGACATGAAGTTTATATTTCAGTCAACGGTGGACAACACGCTTCACAGAAAAGATGAAGTGATGATAGGAAATCGATGAAATGCCACTGAGATACACATCTCACAGTGTTATCTTACAGCGTACAAATAGCGTTTGAAGATGTCATCCGTTCAAGCATGCATTCATTAAAACACATCCAACTTGTGTTTAACTAACTTTCCTGTTATTTTTGTAGGCGAGCACTGCGAGCTGAATGCGTCATCGGACCGGTGTGTTCCCGGGGTTTGCAGGAATGGCGGCAAGTGCGTCAACCGGCTTGCGGGTGGTTTCATGTGCGAGTGTCCACTAGGGGAGTTCGAGAAGCCCTACTGTGAGATGACGACCCGCAGCTTCCCCGGACAGTCCTTCATCACCTTCAGAGGCCTACGACAGAGGTTCCACTTCACCGTCTCCTTCACGTAAGTAGTTTCTTAAAAGTATTTCCTTCTTGGGTTCATTTTTTGTCAACTTATTTCTTTGCTATTGCTACCATGTGGCTTCTGAACTAAAAAATGAAGTGCCAGCACCTGCAGTTCCTCAAATGGCCACTTGAGACCGGCTCCAATCCCCATAGACCCCCATGTTAAAATGTGCAACTTTACAGCTGAAATAATCACGTTTACAGCCTGGTACAAACGTAGTTTTGGTTTCTATAGCTAATTTTCTTGTTCGTGATAACTGTTCAGCAAAAAAAGTTCATACAACTCACCAATTTAGATTGTATGAAGGCTTCAAATTTATGTAGAATTAAGAGAGAGGCCACTTTTAGTGATAGTGTAGTCCATTAATTTCCAGCTTACGCTCATACTTGAATTAAACAGAAGCTGGGAAACCCATGAGTAACATTGTGAAGAGCTTTTCCATCTTTATATACGGTCAGCGTTTACCACGAGCTACCAAAACACTTTTAAATGACTAATTGTCGAGCTTTCCATTCTCACATGGCACATACCTATACAGGTTACCATGACTGAAAACATAGCACTCTAAATTTCTCTTTATTTTCTAAAAAAAAATCCTCAATATCAAGCTGGCTAAAACCATAGCAGCAGCACTGTTCTGGCTGTAGCAACAGCTAGCATATTTTAGCAGCTGTAGCTTGCCAATGATAGCTAAATCAGCTGATGATAATAATGTTGTTTCTATAATGCCTTTGAAAGTAAGGGTTTACAAAATGCTTTCAAATACACTGAACTGCTAACTCGCTGCTAAACTAGCATTAGCATTATCACAGTTATCTACTCTGTCCACTGAAGAGCAGCAGCTTATTCAGTGTTTCTTTAAAGAATAACTTCATTAATCATAAAATATGACTAAAAGTGATGCTAATATTAGATCCACATCCCTTGTCTTACAGTATTAACAGCATTTGATCAACACTGGCTTTGATTTTTATAAAATGTCACCTGCTGCCTTATGTTTGCAGTTGATCTCAGCTGCTTTGTTGCAACTTCTTTGTAATTTTGTAGATAATTTTAATGCATAAATCTGTTTCTTTCAATAACATTAGATAACATTATTGATAGACAGATAACTTTAGATGTAAAACTTAGTTCGAACACATAAATGGACCAAAAAAAGACTGTGTAAAACAGTAATGTGTCCATTAGCTTCTAGACTTTTAGTCATAGTTCTTGTCTTTTAATGTTACTTTTTTAAGTTTGTTTTCCATAATCAACAATATTTTTGTTTATACTTACTAAATTAAAACTTCAGTGGAGTTCAATGGAGATTTTTAAAAGTTAGGTAAAATTCTACAAAACATGTACCTTAGCTGCTCTTAGCTTAGCGTCAGCAGCACAATACGGCTGTGATACATGTAGCGGTGAGTGTGTAGTAAATGGTATTTTAAACACAGTTGAGTTCAGAGAAACTAAAGTGTGTCAGCCGGGGCGTGCCGAGACATGTGCACACTTTTCCATTGTGTCTCAGTTCCCTCCTCTGGATTCGCGCATGCAGACGCACATTTAGCAGCGAGCAGGAAGACGGTAACACACACTGCAGGTGAACTTTACGAGGTGTGCTGCTTCTCACACTCACAAACAAACTGAAACCGCTGGAGGTGAAATAACCCCGGTTCATCCAGTTTGCAGCACTCGCGCTGTAAATACAATGAAGAGAAAAAAAAATCTTTGACGGCGTGTTTCATTACCAGTAATGTGCGACGTGGGATTTGATAATGCGAATTCGTCGACGGTGAGAAAAGGTTTGCAGCGCGGTGAAAACAGGAAAGGCTGTGTGATGAGTTTCCCTTATCGGTGTTTGGCTGCAGCCGTCCTGGTTTCCTGCCCTCCTGCCCTCGCTGGCATCTGTCGGCTGACTCCTCTGCCCTCACCTTACAGTCCAAACACACAGACGGCGCTGAAATCATCAAACGTCGACTCGTTCTTCAGGTCTTTGTCCCTCTTTCACATACCCATGCATCACCTAAAGCAGAGGAGCCGTTTCCTCTCGGCGGCCCGCCGGCTCTACACTTCCTGCCTTTCCTTTCCAAGTGACTTTTCCTCAAGAGCTCTTGAGTCATAAAGCTATCTGCAAGGTCTCCAACCCCTCCAGTCCAGCTCTGTTGGAGTTGGAAAGGTGCTCAGAAATGTGACAGGATGCACGAAGGAAAACAGCTGAAACTCGCTCGGCCGACAAAAATCTGAACGTTTTTGTTTGTGCAATAAAGCATCTAACATTCGTCTTTCTTCTGCAGGTTTGCTACCAGAGAAAGAAACGCTCTGCTGCTCTACAACGGCAGGTTCAACGAGAAACACGACTTCATCGCCCTGGAGATCATCGACGAGCAGATTCAGCTCACGTTCTCTGGAGGTTAGACTCCCGTAATGTCTGTGGAGTGTGTCGTGTGCTCCAATACATCAAATGCAGAATGCCAAAAATACCCAGATGTCCTACTTGGTGCTTTACTGGTCCTTCTGAACCTCAATTTTCTGCACAGTTACGTCCCATATGTACATGCATAAGGTTAAGGTGCAACATTATGACAAAGTAGTGCCATCAAATTGTATGCAAACTGCCTGAAACAATAATTTCTTTGTACGTACCTAAAGACCAAAGAGGAAGTACACGATATGGAATGCAGCCGTTACTTTAGCGTCAACATTGCGCTCTTTGCATGCGCATATCTGCAAAGTAAAGTCATGCTGCTTCATACAAACAGAAACTCGCATAGTTTCTCCTTGTATCATACATGAGAAGTCTCGCTGATGGAGCATAACTCACTCCAATCTAAGTGCTCTTTTCAAACTTTATTTCGAAATCAGAGTTTGCTAACATGCAAGCTCCAAATGTGCACAGCAGAGTCAGGGAGAAACACTGAAGACGAAGATTTAATTGCAGAAAGAAACACAATCCTTCAGCAGGACAACAGAAACAACGATCTGGACCATAAACAGGGACTCTGTTGGCAGCAGTTTGCACTTAACGACGCCACACAAGTGCTTTGTTTGACCATTTAAATCAGCGCCACAGATCTGTTTGACAAGTGCAAATCCAGATTTGAAGGCCATCCAAAGGAGAAAAAAGAAACTATTTGAGAAAACTTCTAAAACTTTCTGATGGAGACGCACTTCCCTACAAAATCCCCCCAATCATGCCAGAATGATTCGTTCTTTACAAACGCAAGTCAGCTGCTTTTTCTCATATTGCAAGTGTGTCAATAACGTCCTATATCAGCTATCAGCTACACTGTAAGCACATTAACACAGGTGTAAGTGCGTTTTATCTAAAGTGGCTTTCGCAGAGCTAAATAGTTGTTATCAGTGTGCGCTTTCTTTTGATTTGTATCCCAAAGTCCCAGAGTTTGATCATTTGTGCGAGAGGAACGGGTGTGGTTAGCAAAGAAGCCGCCAGACTGATTAATGAGGGAACAGACACTAAACTGGCCAACAAAAACAACCAACCAGCCCACAACACTTTCGCTCCGTGCAACAAAAAAAGATGTACATATTCGCTCCAGTGCAAGCAAACACACCCAGAGTGATTGTTCAAACCGGTAACTGTTGAAGTGCAGATCAAACACGTTGTTTTCAGAGCAGCTCTACTTTCCCATGGTACCTTACAGGGAAGGAATCCGCTCCGATGCGATTATGTTGGGTGAAGCCCGTTCGGGAGAGAAGCCAAGACTTTTGCTTCAAAAACTGTAATGCCACTGAATGCATGAGTCATCAAATTAAACCAATCATGAGTCACGGTTAATGAGGAACGTTTTTTTGCGGCGTTCCTCTTTGAAGCGGGACATCAGACTCGCACATGCACGACTTGCGAGTTTGGCCGTGGTGGATTTGTGCCCAGGCTGCTCCTGCCTTTGACAAACACAGTAAAACCTTCAGTAAATCCGCTGCCATTGTGCTCCTGCAGTCTTCTCGCCTGGAGCCGTCGATGACCGCCGACTAACACTGGATTTTCCCCCCCAACGGCGGATTTATGGTCTTTGTGTGTTTGCGTTTGTGCGGTTGTGTTTGTCCACGTTGGATGTTGTTTGTCTTTAATGGTAACTTATCAATAAGCTGTGGGATGCAGTTTAGAATTTCTCCGAGCAAACTTCCTCTTGCTTAGCGGCATTAAAGTGAGGCTGTTTAACTTTTTAAAGCTCATAAGTGTTGAAAGATGAGGTTTCACTGAATCTGATGGAACTGATGGGCTAAAGTTCAATGCACGATATTTGATTTTTTCCAAAATTAAATACTTTTCAACTCATTTTTCCCTCTACAGGTATAAATACTTGTTTTATTTCCATTTTATTACAGTGAATCTCCTGTAGAATGAACATATTTTAATGCAGACTCTTATTGTGAAGGCAGACATAAAATACAATGATTTTCAAAACTACTTCCACTTGCATGTAAAGCAGGTTATTTATTAGTTAATAATATAATATATTATGAATCTTCATGTAGCACTTTCAGGCAAAACTTGTAGCTTCACAGGTGCCATCATTTTGAGGCTTTTATAAGTCGATTAAAGCTAAAAATGAGCTTTTTAAAAAATTAATTCTTTCCTGATTGTGGTTTATTTATTCCTCTTAAAGCTGCTGTTACATAAACCTACACAGCCTTGGAATCAACTATTTATATTACACTTGATGTTTGATGTTTCCTTCTCTTTCCTCCCTTCTTTCCTGCTTCCTATTCTCCTCCTATTTGTTCATTTCTCCTCCCATCCTTCTCACCTCTCCTCTGTCCTCCACCTTCCATCCCTCTCCTCTTCTTCTTCGTCCCCCTCTTTTCTCGTCATCCAGGTGAGACGAAGACCACAGTGTCTCCCTACATCCCGGGTGGAGTCAGCGACGGCCAGTGGCATTCTGTGCAGCTTCATTATTACAACAAGGTAAGAAACCCACCAGTGCTGCTGCTCCTTTTACTCCTTCTCCTTCAGTTTTTAACCCTCTGAACCCTGAACTCGCCAGTTCATTTGAAAGGCACGCTATTTTTTTTTTTCTAAAAAACACTGTTTATCAGAGTAAAAAAAAAAAAGTAAAAACAGGAAGAATTTCACCTTGTCCTTTAAACCAGGTTAAAATTTGGGCATTTCATCATTATCATTTTATTCTGCATGTTTCATTAGGGGAAAAAAAAAGCCAAAAATAAAGCTTTTACACGAGGCAAATTCTGCAAAAAACAAAAAATTCTGCCCTCCTTGCCGCAACTAAGAAATCTTGATTGACTCAGCTGTGATCAACAATCACTTGACATAAATTCAGGGATTTTTAGGATGAACTGTAGGCTGTGTGTACACTGAGCAGATAGGAGACATGTATGGAAATAAATTAAACATGTAAATAGTAAAACATCCACAGTACGTAGAGCTGCCATGTTTTTGTTTTACAGCGTTTATAACACTGCTGGAGACTTTAAAAAAAAAGTTTCACGTGTTGATTCCATTTTTTTCCCTCAATTTTGTAAAATAAATAATCAAAGAAATTCAACTTTTAATGAGTTATTGCATTCTAACTGTGTCATCTTGCATCAGAGACATTTCTGAGTTCTCTGTCCTTCTAGTCGTGGTTGTTCTGTTTCCATCGAGGTGCAGGACTTTATATCTCAGAGAAAAATGAATCCACAGTGAGTGAAAACATGACAGGGGTTCAGAGGGTTAACCTTTTTCCTCTTTAGGGCGACAAAAACATCAAGAGTCAAGTTGAATTTTTGCTCTTTTTCTGGTAAAATCATTCCGTAGTCAGACTGTGTTGTGGGTCTGTGAGTTCAGGAGATGAATCATCGGCAGGCAAATGCATGAAATGTGACTTTTATTTGAAGCTACCAAGGCAACTGACCTTGACAGCAGATTCGGGAGATTATCTTTACAGTGCAGGTTTGACTCGTGAACTCTGTCTTCGACGCTGACTTATCGCGCAGCTCCTCTGAAAGGAGCTCAGGGACCTGGTTTCAGCTTCAAGGGTCAGAAGTTCAGCAAACTTCCACCAGACAGCTGAAGTATGTCGATGTTCTTCATGTGGTTATAGATACTTAAATACTGGGGCAATCTAAATTTAATCTTAATCACCGACAACCACAAGGCGTCTTAGTCTTTTTTTTTGCAGAAGTTCCCACGACGGTCGTCTTGCTTCTTCACCAAATCGAGAAAAGAGTCAGTAATTATTTCGCAGCCGAGCTCATGTGTCCTCCTCGGCTGTAATATTATATTAAAAGGGCTTAAACTGCAATCTGTCGCTGGTGTTGCTTTCCGACAAACTTCCACAGCCCGCGGGCGTTGTTCTGATAACATTAAACCAGATGGGAAATAAGATAACGCTGTCCTTCTGAGGAAGTACAAGCTATCGTATGCTCTCTGTTTGTTTGTTATACGTTTGAATGTAACTTTGAATTTCACGTTTGGCAGCTGCTGGTGGTGATTTAGTGTCAAATCGATGATTACATCAACTGGGTCAGAGTCTAGAGTAACAGAATGACAATGTTGTGTATGACAGCAGAGCACACTGCGACGTATTTGAGCAAATTCTTCCCTTTTATTTTATATGTTATTGGTCAGATCTTTAAAATACACAAAAAATATTAAGAAAAATACAAAAATGTACATGCCGAATATAAAATAGCATTACGGTATTATAAAAAGCATGAATTGTATGGAAATAAAATACAAATACAAGGAAATTTTTTGAAAGAAAATGATATTAAAAGACTAGATTAAAATATTAAAATAAAATATTTTATTTAATAAATGAAACCGTCAAATTCAAGTTTTGTACTGTAAACTACATCTGTAATATTTTAATATATATAATAAAATTTTACAAAATTATATTTAAAAAATTAAAAAGTATTGACGCTGTAATTTTACGTAGATTTATTTGTTAAATGACAGATATCTGGCATATTACAGACGTTTTCACATTCATTATATGTTAATGGGAATTGATTTTACACATATAAATATCCTTCATTAAACTGTAAAATTAAAATTAAATTAAATTAAAGAAAATACACATGAGCTAATGTGAAATAAGGGCTGAAAATTTATTTTAATTACGGAAAATTACTCCATTTTTATGAGATGATTAATTCTCTTTTATGACTTGGGTCCACGAGCGACCAGAAAATTATTATTTTTCCCCCATTTTTACCCCATAAGTTGAATTATATCATCACTAATAAGGGAAATATCTCCATTCTTTATTTGCTAGAGACCAGTTTGAACCATTTAAAGCTACTTTCCGCTCTTTCTAATGGTCTCTACCCTCATTAGCACACGCTAGCTTCATCACGTAGCCTTTTTAAGCTAATCCGCTAACAGGTGTGCGCGACAGAAGTCATCGATCCGTCCTTTCATTCTTTCCCGTCTTGACTTTCTGCCTGTTTCTTGCTGGAAGCCGCAGCTCGGCCGACCCGACCTCGGCGTCGGGTTTCAGCACCGCCTGTGTTGTGCAGCTTGTTAAGGAGAGTAGTGCTCTGGTTGTTGGGCTAACGCTCGCCTACAGTGCAAACCTTCTCACATTTCACAGGTTGTGTTCTCGTGTCAACCGGCTACAGGGCCCCGTAGCGTCGTTAGCCGCCTTGACGGGGACGTATTCATCAAAGGTGATGAATGCGGAGCTCCGTGTTCGCTGCAGGGTCACATCTGTATCTATTGTTTGACGTGTGTTTAAGACCATACGTCCATGTTTTCACCTCCTCAGTGATGCTGCAGAGACAATGACTGAAAGCTGCTGCAGGTGTTATTTGTCTGTTGACAATGAGGACTTCTTCTGTTTAGTTTGTCTGCTGGGTTGTGATGCAGTCGCTGTGGAAACGAGAGATTAATTAGCAGATTTCAGGCTTCTCTTTCCCCCTGATCCGATGGGCGCCTGACATGCAGATACAAGCAAACACCCACATGCGTTGGTATCTCGGCCTCGTCCTCGTGGCGTTCAGGGCGGCCGCGTTCCAACAGTCTTAATGCAGATGCAGTGATTTGCAGAGCTGGTGACACATTCCGTTAAATTAGCCCCGAGGGCGGCTGTAGGGTCTGACACAGGGTCAGCTATTCTTCATGTGCTGACTGATCAGAGTGATTGATGGTAATTTAATCCCGCATCAGTTGCTGCAGGGATTAGAGGAAATGTATACGGCAGAGAGCAGCAATGTTCTCACAATAGATTAGACGTGTTGACATGTGAATGTACGTACACGAACGAGGGCGCGCACATGTTTGCTCTTAGATCCATTTTGTCCACAGGCAGCATCGCTGGCATAGCCGAGAGACAAGAGATCAGAGCTCTGCAGGTATGATGTGATCCACATTCATGTCCTGCACAGCAGCAAACACATGAAGAACATTCCCGCTCTGGTTTTGTGTTCTCCGTCTGTTGGTAGTTTGGCCCGCTTGATTGATATTTTTGTTCCAGGATGAGCAGCCCGGTCGGATTAGAGGCCTTCAAACGTAGCCTGGTTACGGCGTAATTGGTTTTTAGGTGGAGATTTATGGAGCTTTCTAAATTAAAACAGGCGGCACCACACAGACAAGTTGGTGCAGGTACAGTTTAGATTCTCAGTATTAGTCACACAATATAGTTGTTTTGTGTGGCACAGCTCTTTTATCTGTAATAGAAATTAAACATTTTCCACAATACGATTAAGTTGTGGATGTATTTTCTCAATATTTTATGTCAAAAATATAGATTAAATAGGAATAAGTTAGAAATAGTGGTGCCTAGTAGAATAGCACCAATTATAATACATTTAGCCAAAATAAATCAGCGAAAATAAAAAGTAAGACTAAATATTACTGGCAACACAGAGGGAGTCAGGTGATATTGCACTTGCTGCTGAAATGCTGCACATGAAAATAAATATGACACATGAAAATATGTAATAAAGATAAAGTGTAAAAGGAATATAAGCT